ACCTGACGCGCGGCCTCCCAGGGCGCCAAGACAGGCAGCAGAAGGGACGGCGCTCGCCCCCCCCCCCCCCCCGAGGGAGCCGCGACGGGCGACGGGAAAAGGGGCCGCAGGCGGGGCCGGGGCCGGGGCGCAGGTAGGGCGATGGGGCCGGGGCGCAAGTAGGGCGTCGGGGCCGGGGCCGCAGGCGGGGCCGGGGCCGGGGCGCAGGTAGGGCGACGGGGCCGAGGCGCGTGCCCTCGGTGCGCCGCGACGGGTCCCCGTCGCCCATCGCGGCGCCTCCAGAGGGCGACGCGGCGAACGACGGGGCAGAAGCCCGCCGCGCGCCTCGGGGCGCACAGCGGGCAGAGAACCGCCGCGCGCCTCGGGGCGCACGGCGGGCAGAAAACCGCCGCGCGCCTCGGGGCGCACGGCGGGCAGAAAACCGCCGCGCGCCTCGGGGCGCACGGCGGTAAGAAAAAGTGCCGCACGCCAGGGGGCGTGCGGCTTAGAGAGTAGTGAAAGGTAGTTGCAGCGAAAGCGAGGAGGTGGTAACCCACCCACAGGATCGATCCAAGGGGATCGACCTGCTCTGATCGCATGTGAAAGTTTAGAAGAAAGAAGAGGATTGCACTAGCAAGAATGGGGATACAAATAGCAAACCCTAGAAGGGTTGTACTCGCTATAGAGCACCCCACTACAGGCTAGAGCATAAGATAACATTCTGACAGTAGAGGGTGATGTACATGGGGGGGGGGGTTCTTGGCGCAGAACTCAGCAGGAAGCGCAGCGCGGTAGCGAGTGTCACTAGTGCGGAGGTGCGTAATGAGGTCAGCGACTGTGTGAAAGGCAGCAAGGTCAGGGAAGAGGTACTGTAGCATGAGGCGGCTCAGTGCAGCAGTGGCAGGGGAAGAGTAGCGTGCAACTACAGCGTCGTACAAGGTCTGAGCACTCTTGTACTGGCTAAAGTGTGCACGCTCAGTGGTCGGTAAGTGGCGGCGCACAGCAAGGCGAGCAGCAGCATCATGCGTGGCCCACTGTGAGCGAACAGTGGCGTCAGCATCAGCAGCAGGGGCAAGAGAGGCACCAGAAGTGAGGTCAAACAGGGAGAGACCGTTTGCCCTATCGCACTGTTGGAAAAGCTGCAGATCATCTACCCAGACCTCAAAGTCATCTGCCCGACCCTCAGCGTCAAAGGTGAGAACACTAGGGGGAGGCCATGACAGCAGTAGATAGGCAGTGAGTACAGTGGGGCAGGGCAGTGCAGTGGTAGAGGCGCTGCTCTTACCAGGCAAGTGGGGCGGTCCCGGGCAGGCCGACAGGCGGCAGCGCCTCGGCTGCGGTGCGGCTTGGCGGCCCGGCTGCTGGGCGGCTCGACGGTCGGGCGGCTCGGCTGCAGGGCGGCTCGGCGGTCGGGCGGCTCGGCTGCAGGGCGGCTCGGCTGCTCGGCGGCTCGGCTGCTCGGTGGCTCGGCTGCTCGGCGGCTCGGCTGCTCGGCGGCTGGGCGGCTCGGCGGCTATGGCGCTGGGCGGCTGAGTGGTGACGGGGCCGCGGAAGGGCGGCGACGGGGCCGCTGAAAGGGCGGCGACGGGCCGCTGAAGGGCGGCGACGGGGCCGCGGAAGGGCGGCGACGGGGCCGCTGAAAGGGCGGGCGGTGACGGGGCCGCTGAAAGGGCGGCGACGGGGCCGCTGAAAGGGCGGCGACGGGGCCGCTGAAAGGGCGGCGACGGGGCCGCGGACGGGCGGCGACGGGGCCGCTGGAGGGCGGCGACGGGGCCGTTGAAAGGGCGGCGACGGGGCCGCTGAAAGGGCGGCGACGAGGCCGCGGAAACGGCGGCGACGGGGCCGCTGAAAGGGCGGCGACGGGGTCGCGGAAGGGCGGCGACGGGGCCGCTGAAAGGGCGGCGACGGGGCCGTTGAAAGGGCGGCGACGGGGCCGCTGAAAGGGTGGCGACGGGGCCACGGAAACGGCGGCGACGGGGCCTCTGAAAGGGCGGCGACGGGGCCGCGGAAAGGGGCCGCGAGGGCGGTGCGAAGAGGGCCGCAAGGGCGGCGCGACGGAGCCGTGAGGACGGCGCGACGGGGCCACTAGGGGCCGTGAGGGAGGCCGCGAGAGGCCACGAAAGGGAGTCACACGGGGCGCGACTCGGGCAGGGGCCAAGCGCGCTCCGGGCAGGAAAAAAAAGGTCGGTGGGCCCTAGGAACAGTTCCCACGGGGGAACCAACTCTATACCATGTGAGAATTAGAACGAGAATGATTGAACTATGAAACAGTTGGGTACAAGTACTAACCCTAATTGGGTTGTACCCCTTATGGGCTACCCCACTACAGCCTACACAGATGTATAAGCTATAATGTTCTGACAAGAACATATATCAAAAGAAACAAAGAAGGTGCACCACCTAACAAAGTTTATAATAACTACACCAACTACAGCTATAGGCAGTTACATATATATTCTAACAAATTTTACATACAATCTTATAGGATGCATTCACAAATCAAGTCGTACTACCAAGTCGCGACACTTTGAATTTCTTATTTGGTAACCCAACCCTTGGAAATGAACCTCGCCTTGAAATTTAGAGATTGATTGCGATGCGGGATTGGATGGCGAATTGTATCAAGAGGCTGTAATTTCGTCGGCACCGTTGGCGAAGTCGGCGAGGGGTCGGAGCTTGAATTTTCTGCGTTTCGTTGTTTTCGCGCGAGGGTGTGGTTTAGGCTACGTGTCTTCAGGTGGGTGCCCAAATGCTGGGAGGGGAGGCTGAACAGTCTCAACCTTGCGTGGTTTGGGAGTTTGCAGCCTCCCACTAGCCGGTGGGTTGGCACTGTGTGGCTGCCCAACAGTAATAGTGGGTTGCCGCACTGTTGCAAGGGGGCAGGGGAGCGAGCGGAGAAGTCGGGGCATGAATGCGAGCAGGAGTTACAAAGTGGGGAAGGGGGAACTAGGGCACCTCAGTGAGGGAAGCAAGTGTAGAAGCATGCTTTTTTGTCATAGTTGACGTCACGAGAGCGGAGGAAACTGTACGGGAAAGGGTGGTCGAATAAGCAGCCTGGAGCATTGAGAGGGAAATCAAAGAAGAGACACGGGAGAGTACAGGTTGTAAGCTTGTCCGCATGAGGGTTGCGGATGTGAGCAAGGCAGCCTCAGACGTGAAATGCGGAAGCGGCACAAAGGGACTTAGTTTAGAGGAGGGTCGGCAAAACCTATGACTGTGAGATACGGGGCCACAAGTTAAGATGGTGAGCCACGTAGCAAATTGCAAATGGTTATAGAAATATGGGGCATTACCATGAATCATGGAGGTACAACGGATCTTTATTCCCAAGCTAATGCGACGCTTAACTACCCCATTATGTTGCGGCGAGTCTAGGAGTGAGCACGAATAGGTGATACCCTCCAAACGACAGAACTAACCAAAGCGACCGGTGACAAACTCGCCACCACGGTCGGAGTGCAGGCAAGTATAGGCTGTGCGCGGATGGCTACTAGCCACGAGGGGAGAACGTCAGGCTGTCGACCTTTCGCTCCAAGGGAAACACCATGGTGTAGCGGGAATACTCGACCACAACGACCAGGGACGGGGGCAGGGTCCCATACATCCATGTGCAAGGTCTAAAGAGGCGAAGTGGTGGGAGGAAACGAGGAAGGGTGAAGGGCGGCGTGTTGCCTGCCCTCGACGCAATACTGCACAGCGACGCAGACGAGGGAAGGAAAGCAGGGAGCGCCGATGTGAGACCAGAGACAAGACCCTGCTGAGCCAAGTGATGGAGACGCGGGAGGGCAAGGTGACCCAGACTGTGGTGCCATACGAGCGATGGGTGAGTGAGGGACCAACACGAGCATGACGCAGCTACCTGACCAGTCGTAGGAACTTGGGTGGACGCAGTCTGTAAAGATCTGATGATGGGTCCCTAGGGAAGGTGGCAAGAATTGCCCCAGTGGTAGTGTCTATAAAAATCTCAAATCACTCGTGTCCTGAAGAAAAGTGATGTTTACGCGGAGGTACGGAAGACGACCGACACCTAACAAATTCGTAGAAAACGAGGGCATCTGCAGACATGTGATGGAGTTAGAGGGGATTGCCGGGGATGGGAGTATAGTAGCGCTTCGTGCGAGTGCCTGTCCGGAGGAGGGGTCAGTGAAGGAGACTGCGACGGGAGCTGGAAGTGACGAGAGGGTGGTGTGGTTGTCGACAAACTACTAGGACTTGCCGGAGTTTAGAGCTAAGTAGAGGGACGCGCCGACAATAGACACACCTAGGTAAGAAGCAGCAGATGACCGTACTTAAGACACCGAAATAGAACCCTGTCCAAGCACACACGAGTATGGAGCGAGACATGTGAGTTGGTACCATATAACATGATGTTTGGAGAGCATGTCTGATATGAAATACAAGCATGGTGCAGTTTTGTAAAAACAGTGACTAAAAGTAAAGCTTGTGCTAGATCGGTTGCAAATGTGCTGTGTGTGGGGATGTACGCTTTGTTAAATCTTGTACGGTATCGTCCCCCCTCTATGGTTGCACATATCCCCATTTTCTTCTTTTATTTCTCATGGTATTTCTTTTCGCCGTGCTCTTTCTTCTCCTCCTCTCCTCTGCTTCCCACTTCTTTCCACTTCTACTATCTTTTCATACTCCAAGGGTGTGTAAACAATTTGCATTTCCATGGTGTGTACGATGGGCAAGACGCACTTCTATGCGGTAGCAGGTGTCGCAGGAAGGCGTCATTTTTTCTCTTTCGCTGGAAGCAGTGCGTCACATTACACCCATGCAACTTCGCAAAAGTTTGTAAACGAACGTACGGCATCGCACACGGTACATACTTTATCGTTTTTTAGAATGGTTACACGCCCTTTTCCTATGTTGCAACATTTGTTTGTGTTCATTCTTCAGTTCAGCTTATAACAGGTTGTGTTCATTCTTCAGTTCAGCTTATAACAGGTTTCATGTCTTCACTCTCAGAATAGCAGTTGCGATGTACTGAGAAGGACGTGCAATTCTCAGCCGCACATTCAATGTTTGCCGAAATGGCTGCTGTTGCCATCTTCTCCGCCGGCACTGGCGCCAATGCCTGCGTGCAAAGCCTTCCCGGCCGAACTGTTGCGTTCCGGCCATTGCCTCTCTCATCCCTCAACCTTTCGCCTGTGTTTCTGGAGAAAAAGCTATGGTTGCGAGAAAAGGGCAGTTTGGTCAACAAAGCGTCGCAAATTCAGAAGCGCGGCAGGAGCGCGCAGAGGGGCGGAGACCTGGTGTTAGGGGAGCTTCACGAGATGGAGGGGGGCCAGAGGGTCCGCGGAATGCGGGCTATGGCGGACGGTGAAAGGCCTGAGGACGCGGCTTTTATGCGGCGCGCGCTCGAGCTGTCGAGGCAGGCGCTGGGTCGTACGTCGCCGAACCCGATGGTGGGGTGCGTGATTGTGAAGGACGGTGACATTATCGGAGAAGGCTGGCATCCCAAGGCTGGCGAGCCGCACGCGGAGGTAAGCAGCGACGGCAGCTGTGCAGCGTGAAGCATGGATTCAAGTGACCTGCGAGCATGGCACATGGCACATGGCACATGTCCTGTGCGAGGAATGGCATGACATGGCAGGTGGCTGGCAGGGCTATTGTGAAATGTAATGGCATGTCCTTAGTCCTCCCTCGCACCGTTCCCCCCTCATGCCATCCCCCTTTCCCTCACCCATCACCAGGTGTTCGCGTTGAGAGTAGCGGGCAAGGCAGCAGCGGGCGCGACGGCGTACGTGACGCTGGAGCCGTGCAACCACCACGGGCGCACGCCGCCGTGCAGCCAGGCGCTGGTGAAGGCGCGCGTGCGGCGCGTGGTGGTGGGGACCGTGGACCCGAACCCGCTCGTGGGCGGGGAGGGCGTGCAGACGCTGCGGCGGTCGGGCGTGGAGGTGGTGGTGGGCGTGGAGGAGGCGGCATGCCGGCGCAACGTGGAGGCGTTCATGTTCCGCATCGCCAACCAGCGCCCCTACTCCATTCTCCGGTGCGTGCCCTGCCGTGCCCTGCCGTGCCCTGCCGTGCCGTGCCGTGCCGTGCCGTGCCGTGCCGTGCCGTGCCGTGCCGTGCCGTGCCGTGCCGTGCCGTGCCGTGCCGTGCCGTGCCGTGCCGTGCCGTGCCGTGCCGTGCGCCATCACTGGACCAGACCAGACCAGGTGGATGGCTGGGCTAGAGATTGAGAGGTTGTGCGGGAGGTGATTTCGGAGGTCAAGAATCTGGCATGTGTAGCTATTGGCGTGTGTAGCTCGACTCGACCTCTGATCTTATTGGTGATATTAGATACATATGACTTATGTCTTTCACTTGTGCTTGTCCTTCTCAACATGCCCTTCCATCTTGTCCCCCCCGCCTTTCACACCCTTTCCCCACCCCTACCTTAACCCCCCCACTTGTTTGCGTTTCCCCCACCCCGATTCTAAACCCTCCCATCCTCCTTGCTGCGCAGCTACTCCCTCTCGCTCTCTGGCTCGCTCCTCCCATCAATCGGCACGTCAGGCTGTGGTGCGGGCAGCTACCGCAGCCAGCTCTTGGCGGAGTACGACGCGGCTGTCATCACAGACACCGACCTCCTCGCTGCTGTTGCTGCTCATTCCGACGGCGACGCTGCTTCTCCTGACTCCTCTGCCAGCCCAGCGTCCCTCCTGTCCTCGGAACCCGAATGCCAGCAGCCTCTGCGCGTGGTCGTTGCTCGCTCCCTCGCACACCTCCCTCGCTCCGCGCCCATTTTCGACACCTCGCTGGCGCCCACGCTCGTGGTCACGAACGAGTCTGCTGTGGTGGTGGACGTCAGTGCGGCGTCGGCAACAGGCAGGGCGGCGGCGGAGCAGTGGCTGGGGGAGTGCGGAGTGGATCTGGTGGTGCTGCCGGATGGGTTCTCTCCATCTGACGTCATGGAGCTGTGTCTGGAGCGCGATTGCAACTCCGTGCTCTGGGATTGGCACCCCGTGGTGCAAGGCGTGGCTGCTGCTAGCAGCAGCAGCAGCAGCAGCGAGAGTAGCAGCGACAGCTCGTCCAGTGACGGCGAGGGCTGGTCGCTGGGGAGCTGGTTGATGGAGGATGACGCAGTGGAGAAGGTGGTGGTTGCGCTCTCACCTGTGCTGGGTGGTAGCGCGCCCAGGGGAGCAGTAAGCAGCACTGGCGGCTGGCTTGAGGGTGACTTGGGAGAGATGTTTCCACTGCATGGTCTGCATGCGCATGTGTGCGGTGAGGATGTCATTGTGGAGGGCTACATTCAAAAGTAGTTGACATTTCTGTGCACTAGAACCTGGTGTTGTTTTGTGTACTGATTACACATTTATACAGGATGTTAGTATAGTTCTTCCAATTTTGGCGCATACAAACCTTGGCGATCCCAAGTTACCCCGCCTTGTTTTGTCTATACTGTATTTGTGCAAGGCTTCATCATTCAGTCGGTAGTTGTAATCACGTATTCACTAATAAATTCTGAGCACTCGCTTCTTTGTCAACTTATAACAAGCCTCGAATCCAGCTGATAAGAGTCTCGCCCCTCGCAACCAAATCCTCGTGGCGTACGCGACACGCAGCAAACGACCCACAATTATCATTTTGAAGCCGCACGTACATCAGACGGCTTCATGGTTCCGGACCAGAGAGAGGGAGCTTCTGCTGGTTCCAGACAGCTTCTGCTGGAGTGGACAAGATTGGAATGCCATTTTGTTATAGACACCATACGCTGACTTTGTTCATGCCGTATTTTTCTTTCTCGCAACGAGCAATCTTGCGCTGCTCTGCTCTGTGGTCCTCCCTGCTCCGTCCTGTCTCCGTGAGCGAGCACGCCGCAGAAGAGCCCCACTTGCGCAGGAATTCGCCTTCAAGAATTCTATCAAGCCCCCAGCAGCTCGACACGCTTGCAACTCCGCCGTTTGCTGCCGGCTATGACGGTGCATCCCGGCTCCCGTGATGGTCTCGTGGCGCTCCTTGCGGCGCTCGCATGCTGCTGCCTGCCGTGCATGTCACTCGCAGTGCCCATCGCGGACTCGCAAGGTGCGTTGGTCGCAAGGTGCGTTGGTCGCAAGGTGCGTTGGTCGCAAGGTGCGCTGGTCGCAAGGTGCGCTGGTCGCAAGGTGCGCTGGTCGCAAGGTGCGCTGGTCGTCGTCCTCATTCCCCGCCTGTGCGCAACCAGACAGCTCCAATCACGAGACTTCAACCCCCTCAGCTGGCTTGCACGGTGGGATGATGGTGACGCTCGTGCCGACAGCAAGCCAGCCAGCCAGTCAGCAAGCCAGCTGGCTGGCCGGCCAGGCGCCTGTGAAACGCGGTGTGTGTGAAATGTTGCGTCACGATGGGCATCATTTCTTAAGAAGATGAGAAGATGAGCCAGATAATCCTAAGATGATCCTTTCTTCCACGCCGTGCTTGCTTCTTGGGGACAAGTCGTACCATCGCATGAAGAACTGTGGCTTCCAGCAATTAGCTGGAAGCCTTCCCGGTGACTCCCGATTTCGGGAGTCCTGTCAGTCGCGAATCAATGCGGGGGGGTAATTGCGGGGCAACAGAACCACCCTGCAGTCAACCTGGAAATTGTCGAAACCAACCTGCGGGCCGACTGCACTGTATTACCAACGCATCGCATGTCACTTGGCACGAGTGGTTCGATTTTGTTACCATCGGAGCCGCAAAAAGGATATCGCACATGCGAGGCTTGATCAGTTGCTTTGTCACCAGGTGTAACCATTTGTGTTACCCAATATATTTGGAATGCGTTATAAATCAAAAAGTTATAGCTAGTTTATTTATTCCTTTAACGAAATTGATAGTTCGTTATCGCCTTTAATTGAGATAAATACACCACCGGATACAGCATTAAATAATCAGAACCGTGATTACAGTAATAATCACCCGCTACAACAAAATCTTGAAGCGGATGTTACAGGGCAATTTTACAAATTTTCATTAATAAACATATTCATACAGCAATGTACAAACAAGAGCGCAAAAGGTTTAACACGATGTCGACTTTGGCCTAACTGAAATTACAGACGACAAAGACCATCAACTGTTAAACAAAAGATAAGACAAAAAACGCAGAACATCTACTTACCGTAATTAGTACGATGAAACACTTGCCGTAATCAATATACCATGGTCCATATATCCGCTGCATAAAACAACCACATTGTTAAATAGGTCTGGGAACAAGAACAATAAAACACGTCGAAACTCACCTCAAACGATGGACCACGCATAGGCGCTGCAGGCGACTTTACCGTCTTCAAGCAAGCCTCAGTTGATTCTTATCGAAGCAAGCCACACTACTCTTCTCCCCAGCACCTCGCAGTGACAGATAGCAGCTTTCGCTTCATTATGAAATACTTGACGGCGAGGATCTGAAAAAATGACATACGGCAAGAATTAGACAGCGTCAGTGAGATAATAAGCATAGCCATTAATGAAGGACACGTTAAAACTTCTAGAAAGTTTAACAAAGCGAAAAAGATACAAACACAGAGAAAGAGCACATGTACGGACTAGCACATAAAAACCTCACCAGCAGTCAAGGCGGCATCATGCTCAACACGAGGTTGCGATTGTCCGTCGCGAAGGGGGTGTGGGAAACATGGCGAATGAGTTGAAAAACTACCAAGGAAACTAAAACTCCTCTGTTGAAATGAGGCACTAACACAAGTAGAACACGAGTTCAAATGAGTCGTATTGTATTGTTGGCCCTGCTCGTTCTCTGCTCAGTTCGACCTTGCCAAGATGTGTGGTGAGGAGGAGCTTGACAGTTGGGAAACTGGTTTCCCGTAAAAAAACACTGGTTAAACAAGGTGCTGCCCGGACAGAACTGGCGTGCAATTACGGACAAATTAATGTTGTATGAAAACCAAAAATTGACATACGAATGTTGCCTTGGTTGACCGTGGGCAGAAACAACAGCTCGCGACAAGGCAGCATTTGCAGTTTGAGAAGGGAATGTACAGTCCGGGGAAAAACGGCAGCAAATCAGATTTTCCGGGCCATGCCAGGCTGGATGCTGTAAATTGTGGGGGGGATGTGGCGAAGCCAGGCTGGATGCTAGTACAGCGCACACCCTCATCCATTGGCTCGATGCTCAATTTCAGCGATTGGGTGCCGCTCCGAAGCACACACATCAGCACTCATCGAGCTGAGTCCACTCGAGCAAGAGTGGTGATTGGTAAAATGTATGCTGTTCTACCATCTTGTAAATCTTTGCTGACACAGCAAAGCAATTCAGGAAATCGTGAGTTAGCTTGTTGGGAAATCGTGATACTGCACGGTTAAGAGAGATGCCTACAGTAAAATATAGTAACATGTTCAAAATAGTAAAACAGCTGTTTATTAAAACAACCATTCATAAGCCAATAATTTGTTACCAATATAAAAAATACTCAAAACAATAACATAATATCTTTAATATTGATTTTGCCAACAATGTAACGGCATGCAACAACGTGCAGGCTTGATAAATTAAATGTTTCATACAACTCATTATGTAGTGTACATTATGTTAAGACCCACTTGGTCCTGGACAAAACGTTAAAAGTTTTTGCCGGGTATGAAAATATGTCGGAAACCCGTCGAACCACGCTTCACCGAGCACTTGAATGCCTGTGTTTCTGGTTGTTTTCCCGAAAACATTTTGGTGACAACTCCAACCACGATTTCGGTAACTGCGCGCGATCAGAATCAACTCGAAGTCGGTGGGCAGTTAGAAAAAAACACTGTTGGCAAATTGCGGGAACCCGATGTCGCCGAATTGTCTGCCAGCAATCTTCCCTCCAACACCCGCAAAGTTGCGATGACGCCTCCTTTGTCCTCCTTCCCCACGCCCACCACCTACCTACACCGCCCTGCACTGCACTATCAGTCTACGCACAGCCTTGGCTCCCTCACAGCCTTGCCCCTGTCCCTTTGCACGGTTGCTTTTGCTGTTGCCGTTGCTGTTGCTGTTGCTGGCTGCGCGGCAGGCACGGTGCTGCAGGAGTTGCAGAGCTCGTGGAAAACAAGCTTTGGAGGCTGGCAGGCGGGGAGCGACTGCTCGCAAGCCCAAGGCCTCACATGCGACTCAGACGGCATGATCACCTCCATGTGCGTCCGCTCCCTGACCCTCTGGCCCTCTCTGCTGTGCTGTGCCCTTCTCTGCATGCACTGCACTGCACCTCGCCACACCATGCCGTACACATTGCGAGCTGCGATCATTACTAACCTCCCCAGCTCTCCCCTCCACCACATGTTGGCTCAAATCGAACTCAGCTTGCATGTTTCCCAGGCCCGATTCAAGCCAGGTTCGTTCACTCTCTGCCGCTCCGTTGCCCTCACGCACGCCCTGCCGATTCCCGCTTGTCATCGCAGGGACTCGCTTCTTGCGTTGACTTCATTCCTTCAGGCCCCCTACTGCTCTTTGCAGCCATGCCCAGACGCCCATGCATGAGCTTGGGCTGGCTGGCTGCCCCCCATTCCGCAGAGCATAAGCACCCATCCCAACCCCTTCACGCGCACTATCACCACTGAAACGGCCCCTCACTTAAACGGCCTCCAACCCATCCCGTTTCCTCGACCCAACCGCCCATTCCTGTTGCAGGTGGTTAGCTAACCACGACCTAAAGGGACCTACGTCGACCTAAGAAGAAATCGGTGTGACTAGCAGTGACTAAGGGGGGGTAAGAACCTAAGAAGAATATGAGCTACTTGTGTTGGGGCGGTAGATGAAGGAACACGGCAGCGGCGGAACCTATGGTGAGAAACGGAGAGAACAAAGAGGGAGCGTGCGGATATGGAGAAGATCAGGGCTGAAATGTCGAGATTTGAAGTGAAGTGAAGGGAAGTCACGCCGGGTCAAAGGCGCGTCCAAGGAAGTCTGAAATTCGAACTCGAGGCGTATTCGGTGCATGGTTGGATTTGGAAATTGAGCCGAGTACAAGTCAGCTCGAAATTAGGCGCGGCGCAAGGGCGAAATCAGAAATCCTTTTGCTTACTTGCTTTGTGTTTTCTGTTTTTGCATGCCTTCTTCAATGAAATTACTTGAACTTTCTGCCTTGACGTTTTCCAGCAAATTCCTTCACACAGTTGAGGCCAGAGCTTCATATGCTTGTTACTAAGACTCTAAATAGTCTTCATAGTCTAGACTAAAGGCTGCGCACGTACAAGAATTCCTCCTGTGTGCAGGCGCCTCGACTCGTCTTTCACGGTGTTATTCCAACCCGCCTCCGTCACCCAGCTATCGCACCTCACCCAGCTGTACGCCCTTGCGCTGCCCTCTCATGAGACTTTTAGGCAGTCGAACGTAACGTGTTGAACGGAAATGCGTGCGTGCTTGTGTGTGTGCGCGTGCGTACGTGCTTGTGTGTGTGTGTGTTTGTGTGTGTGTGTGTGTGTTGTGTGTGTGTGTGTGTTATGTGTGTGTGTGTTATGTGTGTGTGTGTGTTATGTGTGTGTGTGTGTTATGTGTGTGTGTGTGTGTTGTGTGTGTGTGTGTGTTATGTGTGTGTGTGTGTTGTGTGCGTGTGCGTGTGTGTGCGTGCGTGCGTGCA